AGTGTTTCCTTCGCTCATGCATAGGGTCACTATGAGTCAGAACCAACTTGGTGGCACCTAAGAACAGCAGGTGAAAGCATAATGCAGCACCAGGATTCCGGTGGGGAATGTCATATTTCTTTTGTCCTCAGAAGGCATGCATCTACAGGCTAATAAAGACAGCCTCGTCCTCTCTTCCCTGCTGGCTTTGAATTCTTAATGTAGTATGTTTTGAAAATGAATTTGAGAGCCTGAACAAAAGCTTAAGTAATTACAGTAAATGAATTTCTGGGCCCAAAGTATTTGCACATGTGGGACAAAACTTACTTTCTCATGTAGCATAAATGTTACAAATGCGCTGGCTGGTTGGCAGTCTATCTATCAGGCATACAATGACTTAATTCAAAGTTAAACTTTCTCATTTTTTCTTACTTTTTATAAATCTGGATTTTGATATACCTAGACAATGAAAACAATTATTTTGCTATAGTTCTCTGTCCAAGAAGTTTCCTCAAATGTATTTTGAAAAACATCGTTCTCATTGACGTTATGACTTTATGTATTAATATTTGCTGGAATGTTCTTTTTATAGACTGATTAATTAGCACTTTTTGATTAATGGGGCATAATTTTATTTCCAGTTTTATGAAGAACTCTGAACCTATAATTCATGAAACCCTGTTTGTAGGTGAACATTCACAAGAGTGAAGACTTAGGCTTTTTCTATGGCAAATCAATCTTTATCTTAGAGAATGATCTCTGTCTTGGGACACATGAAATGCAATTTATCATACATTTTGTTGGCTCTTTGTTCTGCTCTTACTGTCTTTAGAAGAGACCGTTCTTCTCTCTCACCCCTCCTCCCTACCTCACCCCCGGCGCCCCCCCCACACCCAATAACACTGTTTTACAGCTTTTACTATTGTAAAACAATGGCTTAGTAATGTTTGAATTGAAAGGCCATTCATAGCATTTTCCGTGTTTACCCAGGAATCAGATGGCCAGGGCTGCCCCTTCTGCCGCTGTGAAATAAAGGGAACCGAGCCCATAATCGTGGATCCCTTTGACCCAAGAGATGACGGCTCCAGGTGCTGCAGTATCATCGACCCCTTCGGCATGCCGATGCTGGATTTGGATGATGATGATGACCGAGAGGAGTCCCTGGTGATGAATCGACTGGCCAACGTCCGAAAGGTAAAACTAGAAACCGCCGTTGCAGTTAGCATTTTGTGTGGGCATTAAGAGCTGTTCTTGGGTTTGGGAAAGAAAGATTCGAGAATTAAAAGAAAGGTAAAATGTAAACGTTGACAGGCTGATGAAAATAATAGTTTTAAGAAAAGACTATTCAAAGTACACTCTCTTGGTTTTAAACTTCATAACGAGAGATGCTGCGATCTGCTGTATGACATAACACATTCTCTAAGATTGGTATTAGCTGTTCTGTGAAGGGAAATTTAATTATTAGAATTTGGAAATGATGCAGTTGGACTTAGGTTCTAAAGATGTCTCTGGTGGAGTGGTTTTCTTACTCGGAAACCAGCTTGTTTTTTGACTCTAAGAAGTCACACCGGTTGGCCTTTGTGGTGAATTGGCCATCGTTTAGGGTTTCTTCATTAATATTGTGAATCTATCAAACGGATGACCCTTTCAGTGAGAATGGTTATGCTCAGTTGACGTTTCTTTAACCACACCTACAGGCTACTAGTCAATGAATGAAAGTCATAAGAATGCCGCTTGATTCAGGAAATATAGTAGGCAAGAGACGTGGACTCCTGGCAACTAGACTATTCTCTTCAAATAGAATGATCCATAGAATTCAGAGTACAATGAGCTATTCTGTGCTTGCAAAAGCAAAGCAGTGGGAGTGGCATGAAAAGGTTTACCTTTTTTCAAGGTGCCCCTCCAACTGACTCTTGGTAGACGTGGCAAATCAGTCATGTTACTCATGCCTGCTGCGTTCAGACTTGGCCTACAAACCCTTTCAACACAGCCCTACAGACCCCACACTCCAAGTCATTGGGATTTGGCAGCAAGCAGAGATCCCTTTTCCATTTAGGTTGACTGATGATAGTTTCTCATGGCCTGAGATGTCATTCGGCCTCTGTATCTAAATAGAAGCGAAACACTTGCTGCAGAGAAAGGAGGAGGACGTTCTTTGGCTTGCTTTTTTTTATTGAAGGGATGACAGATTTAGGGTTTGGCCTCCTGTGTATGCTGTGCTCAGACATTCTTTTCACTGAAACCATTTTGGATATGGGTACATAGTAACACATTCAATATGGCTACCTTCCCCCCCCCCAAAAAAAAAACATTTTATTGGGAACTTTTATAGATATCATACCATTCCATAGTGCAATCGCATCAAGCAGTATTGTTCATTTGCTCCCACAATCAGTTTCAAAACATTTTCTTCCATTTTGAACTCCTTGATATCAGCTCCCCTTACTCCCCCTTCCCTTATCTCATCCCTCAGGAGCCCTCATGTGATTTGTTGTCTCTTTAGGTCCATCTGTCCTGGGTTTCGTATAACAAAACACAGAAAAACACACAGCCACAAGCGCTACCCACAATGACAAAATATATCAGAGATAAATCCCACTCTGAAAAACAAAAACAAAAGCCACAGAGCATTGAAAACCAGATCAGACCTAAAGTGTGTCTGAGAGGAAAACGAGTAACACAATTTTCACCGTTCAAGTCAGGTGTGTAACTTTGATCTCCTGTAGTCATCTCTCCAATATGCTCTGTGCGGTGATCACTTTATCCCCATTCCTCCATCGAGGACAGAGAGTCATCACCAGACTGCTTTCCTGTGTGGATCTCACAGGTGTGTCTTGGATTCCGCTGTCATCCATAGCCTTGTGTGAACCAGAATCGCACAGTGTAGGCTCTGAGTCTTTCCTTTGGCTTCAGATTATATGATTTGTAATCCTTCAGTCACTGATGTCGGTGTGCTTCTTTCATGTGGACTTAGTTAACATCTCAGTTAGATGGGTGCTTGTTTGAAAATAAGCCTTTAAGCCCCCAGGCCCTATTCTGTATGATAGCCAGGCACCATCTAATTTATTTACCACACTTTGCCATAGCACCCATCTCTTCTGTATTTCCTTTATGAGGGCACATATTAAGTAGAGCCATGTTGTATGAACTGCTTGTTCCTAAATTGGAGCTAAGACTTAGTGCAAACCCCAAACCCATTCCTAAAACTATGTTTTTATGTGCCTTGGGCTCCCCTTAGAGACATCCTTGTTAATTTGTGGTAGGGAATCTTATCAGTAATCACCCTGGAGCATAAGCCTCTTCCTTTAATAGTGTCATTGATTAGCCCCTGGTACTAATTTTTAAGATATTGTTGAGAGAGGGATATTGGACCAGTGTAGGCTAACTACATATCACAACATTACCCGGATTATTCCACTGTACAGAGTAAATCCTTACGTGGGTGGACGCTTTTTAGACAGACAATGAGAGTTGGTTGTCAGACAATATTCTCTGGCAATGTTAATCACATGTCTGTGGGAATAAGATGTATCAATAAAGTAAGTAGGGCATTGTTGTGCTAAGTGTGTGCTTGTCTGAATGTGACTCCTTTTGCACTTTGATCTTGGAAGGCTTTTGTCCTTGACCTCATTGGTGTTTCCTAAATTTCATAATTTAAGTCTGAGAAATTATACTTTATTCTACCTTTTAAATCCCATCTGCTACTTTTAGGTTTTGGTTATGAAGTATAGGGAGGAGAATAAAAACACTCTTATTCCTCCTTCCTTTAGGACTAAAATGATTTGTTTGTTTTGCACTTTTCTGCTTGAGGATAAAAAATAATTGTTCTATATGACGCTGCCAAAAGTTGCGGTCTACTTCTGTTTTCCATGAAAGACATGGAAGCTTGAGCCTTTGGTTTGTTTGTAGTGTTGACACTGATAATTGCAAGGGAATTAGTGATATAAAGTGAAGTGAAAAACCAGAATTTTTTCAGTTAAAATAGTGGTTGACCCTGATCTTTTCACCCCCACACAAAGTCATCCATACTTTGTTCTCCCTGGGACACGGCTGAGTTACCTGTCAGAGTCACTGCTAGACTTTACAATGATCATCTTGCATTTACCAGAGGGTGTGTGTGTTACACAGGGTTCTCTAGAGAGATAAAACCAGATTGCTGATAATTTTATATATATATTTATAAAGATAGATATGTATAACACAAGAAATGAACTGTTAAATTATAAACAGATAGATATATAACACAAGAAATGAACTGTTAAATTATATACAGATAGCTAGATATATCATACAAGAAACGAACAGTTAAATTATAAAGCAGTACAAATGGCTCAGTGCAACTCATTCCCGTGAGAGAGTTGTGAGACACCAACAGTCCTTCAAGTCTTGAGGGCCGCCCAGTAGTCCTCTGTAGAGAGAGCTAGACTATCCCAGCACAGGCAGCAAAACAGCAAGGCAGGTCACTAACTGTCAGTCCCCAGCTCAAGAGATGTAAATTTCATTCATGTGGTCTTAAAGGGACCTCAACTTACAGCGACACAGTCCACAGGCTAGGCGTCCCACAGGTAGTGTAGCCTGTAAATTGAGGCACAGAACAAGCAAGGCAGCCGCACACTGGTCCAATGATCAAAGAGCTAGAGACAAGAGCGAGAAACAAGGTGAGGCTCGCCGAGCCATTTATCTCTCCACCCTTCAATTAATCCCACTTGTGTTTATCAGCCAGGCTGGCACAATAAACTATCTCAGTGCATTAGTCCAGGTTGACTAGAGAAACAAATCCAGACACACTCATATATGTATATAAATAAGAGAGAACTTTATATCAAGAAGTAATTATGTATCAATAAACCATCCCAGTCCAGTCCATAAGTTTGATAATAGCCCATAAGTCCAATATGATTTCCTCTTCAGATTCATGCAGGATGTGTAATAATGCCGAATGCAGGAAGACCACAGGCTGGTGGGTGGAAAGTCCTGTGGGTCCAATGGCAGTGGACGCATCTCCAGGGCTCTGGCTTCCATTAGCGTGGCTCCTTGTGGCTTGTCAAGAGGAATGTGTAGCAGAGAGAGAGAGAGAGAGAGAGAGAGAGACAGAGAGAGAGAGACCAACCTGCCTCTTATAATGGTAGAATCAAGAGCAGTTCCCAGAATCTTCATGAGAAGGCCACGCCCCTAAGGAAGGATCTCTCAGGCTGTGACCTGATTTACAGGCTGGACTCCACCCCTTCATTCTTTGATCAAGTTGACGTGAAATTGTGTAACTACCACAGCGGGACACTAGACGTTTTGTTCTAGACATCACACTGTAGTGGCTTATTTAGCCATCAGAAAAATCAGTTCATAAATCTTTGGCAGCATCTGATGGTTTTTATACATTTTCCTATACATATTGATATTTGAGAAATTTAAACTTCATATTCCATATTCTTTGCCAGTATCACAATTGAAATGCATCAGTTTTCCTTATTCATTGTCCAACTTTCACATGCCTGTGAGGCCATTGAAAATGCCAGTGCGTGGGTCACTCACACCTCAGTCCACAAAATGACCTACTAGCTTTTCCACACTTTGAAAAGGTCTTTTGCAACAGATTTACCCAACGCAATGCATTGTTTGGTCTCTTGACTGTTGCTTCCATGAGCACTGATGGTGGGTCCAAGCAGGATGGGCTTCAGAACAACTTCAGTCTTTTCTCTGTTTATCACGATGTTACCTATTGGTCCAGAGGTGAGAATTTTGGTTTTCTCTACTTTCGTTTGTAATCCATACTGAAGGCTGTTAGCCTTGATCTTCATCAGCAAGGGCTTGCATCTTTCACGAAGCAAGGTTGTGGCATCTGGATATCATAGCCTGGTACCACATTCTTCTTCATATAATCCAGCAACTCTGATTATTTGATCAGCATAAAGATTAAATATGTATGGTGAGAGGATTGTGTTAGTCTGGGTAGACTAGAGAACAAATCCAGGGAAATGCTTATGTGATGCTGTACTGTACATAGGCTAGAAGCACAGCGACCGGGAATTGCCAGAAGTTCAGACTGAATTCGGAAGAGCACGTGGAATAAGGGATGTCTTTGCTGATGTCAGATTGATCTTAGATCAGAGCAGAGAATACCAGAAAGATGTTTACTTGTGTTTCATTGACGATGCAAAAGCATTCGACTATGTGCACATACTTTACTAGCCCTGTAT